AGGAAGGCTCTGCAGAGGGACCTGGATAAATGTGAAAACCTCTCCTCATTGGGTTCACTTCTATCACGAAGTTGTCATTGACCCTCTCCAGGAAGCACCTGGATTGTTTATGCGCTGCTTTGTTGCTCCTTCAGTAGAGATCAGAATGGTTAGACACCTATGAGGGCAAACACCTGTGAACATGAAGTTGTTTCTAGCCTTTTAATAGAAGGCCTCACCTACCTTCTCTTCCTGGGCCTACAGCAGACACCCACTACAATGTCATCCATACCAGTTTGCTCTTTAATCCTAACTCCTAAGATCACATCTGGCTCATCATCCATCCCCAGACAGAGCTCCAAGCTCTGAGGTTGAAGGGTTGCCTTTAACACAGAGCAACCTCACATGTCCCTCCCGTAAAAGGATCCTTAGCTTGCTATTAACTTTAATAGCAGAGAACTGACCACATTGTTATATACAGTTTCTATTATTATTTATAGTTTTGAAAAAAGAATGGGAAAAATAAATTTCTAAAACAGACATGGTAAGGAATCATTCCTCCAAGCATGAAAACACACAGGACCTAGAGAACTGATCTATTCACAAACTACTGGATAAGCTCTGAGCAATTATGCTGAAAAGCTAAATTACTGCCACTTAACTCCCTATTAACTGCCATGAATGGCTATATCCCAGAATTTAAAATTATGAAACAATTATTTACAAGGAACTTTAAGAAAGACTACACAGTTGCTACAAAGGTAACATACTAGACAATCCCAAGGTTTGCAATTTTGCACACACAACATAGGTTCTAACTGCATTAAAACCTTTTTACTCATACTGGCAATAATCCACCCCTGCCCTTAATGGCTTTTCTAGACATAAATTTTCAATGTTTGGGAAGCAATAGTGGCTGACAACTTGACACTTCTCCTACTGCAGAGGATTAACAAGATACCCCAAAAAACAAGTAACATGTCTAACAATCATCTAAAAGGTGAATTATTTACTAAGACCTAATCCTATTTACACATTTCCCTCTTCCTTTCACTTCTAGAGACCCCAAGGGATTAAAGTCTGACTTTAAGCAGAAGTGCCTTATGTACTAGCTATTCCCACCTGGTTTAGTGCAACATGCTATTACTTTTTATTAGAAAGCCAGCCTGTGGCATTCACAACAATTGGTACGTCAGGAAGAGCAAGCTGCTTAAAAAAATAAAAATTTTCAGTGGGAAAGAGGAAGTTGCACAGTTTACTCTTGTAATATGAGTAATGGCCCTTTGAAGAAAGAGATAAAACAAAGAAGATAAAAACATTAAAATGCAGCTATATCTACAAAAAACCTAAGACTCAGCAAACTTATTTAGGAATCCAGCCAAGCTTACCATTAGCCCTTACAAAGTAAGATGTATAAATTGTTAAGCATTCTAACAGAACAGTTTAAGTACTACTTTGACTAAATCTTCCCCACTGCATCATCACACACATCAAAATGTTACCACTGTTACATACCTAATTTTCCCCTGCTCCGTTAAATCTCCATCACTGTGTAATATTGTTGTTAGCAACCTCAAAGTAGAAGTTCCTGACTTGCTGTGGTTGTTCTTCATTCCTAGCAACCATCGAACCATCATCTTGATGGCCTGAATCTGAAAAAAATTGATATGCAGAAGTCAAATCACACCATAGGCTTTATTTTTAAAAGAATCTTTATCTTAATTCAATCACACAGTATTTTTCTAAGTGCTTTTTGCTGCTACAAACATAAGCCTGTAAAGGCTGCACAACATCATTTAAATACTGAAAACTAACTAGATGTACTCTCATGAGACAGCAGCTTTTCACTGAAAGTCTCAAGCATCTATTACAGCAAATAAAAGTTATAAAACATTTAGTTAAAATTTGAACTTTTTCTTCTATTAAGCAATCACATATTTTGTCCTGTGAAAACATTATCTGAATTGACCTTACACGTATTAAACACTGTGGAATAGGCAAAACTATTTATACTTATTAAGAAAATGCGACTGGATCAAAAAGCAGAACACTTTTTCATCTTCCTATATTCCTGTAATTCCTGTGCTTAAACAACTCCTATATATTTTTTATTTATATATGCAATATTTGAGTTTAATTTTATTTAAGATATGTAAATTAGAAAACACTTCTTAGACATTTTGACTGCTAGAGTATCAACCTGTATTAAAATAGCTCATTCTGGGAAATAATATTCCTTTCACGGCTATTTGAAGAAAAGCTTCAAAGCCTTTTACTTAGGATAACTTGTCTTTTGCCAATGGAAACATCAAGTGTTTTGAGGCAAGCTTCTGAAAGCATGCAGAATCCAGCAGCTATCATGAAACACTGAATAATTTCACACATTTCTTTAATGTGAAAAGCATGAATTTGGAGATTAAGTTTGTTTTGGTATTTGAATCCCTTTGTCCTTTCATTTTCCTTCTATGAGAGCAGAGATGATAAAGAAAACAGAAAGAGCAGTATCCTCTTGCAGCAAAGTGAAAATGCTCATCTGAATCACAGAGATCCTTAGGGGAGAAAGAAAAAAAAACAAAACAAAAAACAAACAAACAAGCAAAATCACCAAAGCCTGAATTCAAAAGCCAAAAGCTTTGGAAAAACTAAGGTATGGTGGAAAAGAAGCTAGCACATTTTGTACACAGTAACTTCAAATTTTCACCTTAATGGAAAAGGCAATTCTAGTAACTTTTACATAAACCTTCACAATATCAATATTTGTTACTATTCCACGTAACAAACTGATCACAATGGTCTCTTCCAATTTAAGTTCTAGGACTCTCATCTATGCATGACTTTACTTTTTAGGACTCTAGCTCATTTACTGCACCTACAAAATTCTAATTCTACTGGGCAACACCAGCAAGAGGAGCACATCATGTCTGTCACTCAAGGGCTCAAAATGCAAATGGAGTTTGTGGAACAGATATGAAATTGTCTTGCTTTAGCTTTCAAAGGGTCTTGAAACAACTGTAAGTATCCACCTGAAGACTTTAATAGCAATAAAAACAATATGATAATGATGATAACATCTGATCTTCTGACAGCTTCTTCATGTCATAATCCATACACGTACAATTAGTGCCTCCCATTTACTGGGAGGACAGAAACATGCTAGCTGCTTGGTCTTCAAGTAAATGACATATACAGCCATGGAACAGACACAGGCCACCTTATGCCCAGACATCTCAGGTCAGCTCCTGAACAATTTCAACTTTAACCTTTGCTTCTCCTGCTCCACAACTCCATATCCCCAGTTTTACTGCCCAAATATACTCTAGTCTTCCCTTCCATGGAGCAAGTCCTAATCCCAACTCCTTCAGAATCTTCCTCTGACCCCACAGTATTCCCTGTTTCTTTGCTGGTGTTAATGATGTGATGACATTCCAGGAACAATTCAGAATTAAGCATTCCCATGAAATCAGTACAGGGCACGAGAATTCCCCCAGGCACTGCTTCTGGGGACTACCTGAAGACTTAAACAAACATGACACAAGTTTGCACTGCCCTCATGTTTTACATTTTTTCTTTGCAGCCAAACAGGTTAACTATCAAGGGATAATTCCAGGTGGAAGGAATGTCAGGAGATGTCCATTCAATCTCCTCCTCAAAGGAAGGTCAGCTATGAAGTCAAACCACGATGGTCTCAGCTTTATTCATTGTGGGGTTGAAAGCCTCCAGGAATGGAGATTGCAAGGGCTCTCTTGGCAACCTGCAACCTCTTCCAACCTGTTCTGTCTTCCAACTGTTCTCAGGTTTTTTCCTTATATCCAGTCTGAACTTGTTTCAATTTGTGTCCCATGAGTCTAGAATTCTCCTTGAGATTAAAAATTATTATATACAAAATGAAAATATATTGACTGCATTTAACTACTAGCTTTATATAAGTATTAATTTTTAAGATTAACATTAAAAATAATCAACAGTTATAGCCCTTTTCTCTGATCTAGAGGTTGTCATCATGGCTGCGCTGTAAAAAGTATAATGGGCTTGCATCACATGTAGCAATCCCAGAAACACTGTCTTCCTACTCCATCAGCATTAAGACAATAGCTAGCTCAGGTTTCTACTACTTGCGTTTTCAGAGCCATAAATGTCACAAGTTTGTGCAGTACTGAAAACTGAAACAATGCCCACTTAAAGTACAGTTAGAGAAATAGGATGAAAAACCCTATACTGCAGTGTACATAGAAGGAAACAAGCAATATCACCACAGCTACTATGTCTCAGTCCATGTGTGCATGGCACACAGAAGTATTCAGCACTGGCACTGTCAGGAGAAATTACTGCTTTAGAACAGACACTCAAGTGCCAGGCGTAGGAATTCAAGTTTAACTCATACAGTAACTAATGCAATTCATATTAAATCCTGCACTGAAACACTTCTCTACAGGCATCGTTTTATTCAAGGTTTAGCATCCAAAACTCAGGCTAGCCTATATCAGCGTACATCTGTTAGGCTGTGTAACACTATAATTTTGTCTTCATCGGTCGTTCCTCCTTCCATACTTAAACTTGCTAGTTTTCAGATCCCCATTAGATATATTATGCAGTTATGTTACAAAGGGAGCCTTTTAAAAAAAGGCTTTTAAAACCACAGCAAAGAAAAACACACTTTCAGAGAGACACACTTACAAACCAATGGCCTGCAGTGTTCGTTAAATATAGGTTTCTCAGTGGTAATAAATGCTAATTAAATTTGCAGATCAATTTTCACAATAACCTGTTTTCAGTTGTCAATAAATGCTTCTTACAGCTTTCAGCCTTGGCTTCAACTCTAAGTTGCCTTAAGATTTTCTAGAAGTCAGCTCCCTTCCAAAGAGCCAATTGTATGAAAAGTTTTATCAACAGCAAAGCAAACTTTAGAGAGATATTACAGCTTCACAAATCTTTAAAAATAAAAATTAGGAAAGACAGTTGGTATTTACTACCTCAAGTTACATGTATAATCAATGAGATGAAATCATGTCTGTATTAAACTACCAGTTAATGAAATCAAAACAAACGTTCTTTTAACAGTTTTTGGAGTGTACTGTGTAATGATGGAGTTACACAAATGCGAAAAATATCCTTGCTGTAGTCAAGCAACTAAAAAGTTCACAAATCGACTTCAAACACAACTGAGCATTTCCAGTTCTGAACCAACCTGGAAACCAAAGTTCTTACTAAATCAGCAGAGAACGGGGTATGCTACAAAGTGTTTAACTTAAGTGAGAAGGCAGAGAAATTCTTAAAACCAGAACAACTTTATTTAAAAGGCACTGGAAAAAAAATGGCTGCTACAATTAACTTAGAAACAGCACGCTGCAAAGTACATGTATCTTTCTAATTCTGAAAGGAAATATGAAAGAATAACCTATCCCTGTTCGGAAGGGCATTTAAAACCAAATACAGACATAGGATGTATTTTTCCACAGTATCTATTACCAAGCCCAGAAACTGTAATAATAAACTTACTCAAAAAATGAACAAGCTACAGATGACATTTTTAAGTGGAAAAAACCCAACATAACCCTCACCATTTTAAAGTTATTTTTTTAAAACAAAACCAAACAAACAACAATCTAGGTTTTTCTTCCAATACACAATACACAGAGAAAAGCAATGGAACACATTTACTCAAAAGTAAGTCAGTTACTCACTTTAACAAGCGTCTCGGGAGACACTTCTTCATCTGGGACCCAAAGTTTTGTTGTCTTCTTTCCTGGAAGCTAAACCAGATGTTACATTTTGTTACAATAATGTTCTTCTCAGTGAAACCTGCTGTAATCTCCTCTTTCCTGTTTGCGTCCGAAAGCTACACAGCAGCACTCACTGGTTCACTTTATGCCTTCTGTATTTTATAACCATTACAGAAGTGTGATACTATTCTTACCTCACTATTCAAGTATCAACAAATTTAACAGTAGGAAAGGGTTTTTCTTTGTTTTTACCTGAAAGCTATTGCTTTAGAGTGTAATAGCCATTGCTTTGAAAATAACTTCCAGTTTCCATCTCCAGCATGTTGGAACCTCAAGTGCATAGTTTGAGACAGTAAAACTTTCCAAAACAATGGCTGACAATGCATAAGTTATTTTTTTCACTTTATAATCACTATCAATAGAGATGTATTAGAAAAATAAAAATTCACATTTAAACAGTGTAGCTTATTTTCAAACACACCTCCTAAAAAAGTCACAACTTGGTTGCTCAAGACAAGAGACTTGGTGAGTCAAGTTGGTAACAATTTTCCTACTTTTAAGAAAATGCAAGTCACAAGCGATCAAATGCTGTGCTATACAGCTTGCTGCTTTAATAAGGACTGCCAAATTAGTACTATCTCCTTTCCTGTACTGGGTGTTTTCAATTGAGTCAGAGTGCATGTGGAAATCTGAAAATGACTGGATACAAACAGTAGAACAAACCAACCAAAAATTTTCACAAGTACTTGCTTAGTATCATACTACAGTAGAAACAGAATCTTAATACAAGGTTTTAAAAATACTTACCCTATCATTCATTAGCAAATCTTTAACAATAAAAGTGGCCACCAAAGACTTCAAAGGGGCAGCAAACTGATCAGGTGCTAGCATGGCTATATGGCCAATAGTAACTAACGGTGTAATGAGATGCTCAAAGTTGCTTGGATCCAGGCTTTTATGCAGTGGCTAGAATAAAGGCAACAAATTCAGGTATTACTGATAGAATATAGGTCTTACTGGGGCTATGGGGGTGAGTGTTCTGTACCAAGTTGTCCAAGTCTCTATTTCAGAAATAGAATTTTTAAAAATATTTAAAGACATAACCACTCCTACAAGTCTCCTACAAATCAAAAGAAAAATCAAGGAGAAAAACAAAATGTTAATCACATCCAGGTAGTTCTAAGAGTGGCAGCTCAAGCAGGACCATGTAGGAAACAAAGGATTAAAAATCATACTTTGTTCTTGAAGAAGAGGGCATACTACATCTCAAGATGGATAGTTCAGTAAAGGACTACGATTCAGCCTTCAAAATAAGAGGGTGATAGGCACCAATTAAAAAGTAGATTTTGTAAGTGCAAATGTATTTCAATAATTTCTACTATAATTCAGTTTTCCACAATTTCTGTAAGCATTTAAATATTGTGGGCCAATCTGAACAGGGGTGAGGACCGGTGTATGGTTCCTCTTTCCAGAAATAATTCACGGTTGTAGCAGACAGTCCAACACTGTTTTACTCTATCATCTGTTTAAGTATATAACCCTAAACATAACAGATTATGGGATACAAAAATACCCTGAACTACTATTTTTCAGGCCAAACTGTATGGAAACAAAGGGAAAAAGGGGAAAATAAGTATTTTCAAAATTTGATACAACTTGCCATATAAATTGCCACTACATTCTTTAGTTTACATATGCAATACAAAAGATCAATAAAAATTAGGTTAAAAATTTTAATTTTACCTCAAATATCTGTGCAAACTGTGTTTCTTTGCTGGAAAATATTGCATGGATGCAGTGAATAGCATACTTGGCTTGACGAGGAGGTCCCTTTTTAGCTTTATGATGCAACACTGGAAGCAATGCACTTAAAAAAAAAACAAAACAGGAGATAAGCACCTTTTCACGAACTGAAAATCTTCAAAAATATCAGACCAGCAAAAAAGTACAGATATCATAAACATAACACAACACCTCTGCAAAAGTGCTAATCATCCTGGTTTTTCCAATTTCTTCAAAGAAATTAAAAAAGGGTTATTTACCTGGCTTGCAAGTTAAAAAAAATACAAACCAAACCAACACAAACTAGGTCTTGTTGATAAAATATCATGTGGTAAAACAAACATTCTATCTGCACAAGTTAAATTTCTTTTGGAAATATTCTTGCCTACAATACCCCCATTAAATTGCAAAGAAAGTTTTTATATTGCCATATATTCAATTGCAAAAAAATCATATGCCATTCTGAAAGGCAATGATAAAAATTACAGTCACGTCAGTGACATATCATCAGCTGACACTACTTTGGATATATTCACTTCACTTCCATTCTTCAAAATGCACTGCATTTTGAAGTCATTCACATCTCTTTTCTGTTTTACCGTGATACTTCCTTCCACAAGAATGCAGAGTAATGCTATAGCACACAAAAGGAAGAAAGAGAACTTTCAAAATCCTAAAGTGAAGGACACTACTCAGAGGAAGATATGCAACTTACGATCGTATATGAGGAAAGTCTTCTTCAATTTTACTTCCTGTGTTTTTGAAAATTTGTAATGCAGCTTCTGCCACTTTCTCATCATCCATTTTCAAGCAAGCCAGGAGAGATTCAAAAGTTTCAGCTGAATGAAATGAGATAGGGTGCGTAAATGAAAGTACCTGCCAGAATAAGATGAAAGCCATGTTAATTTTTTTATAAAGGTTCACTTATGCAGTGCATTCCATCAAGAGTCATTTTCTACTGTAGCCATTTCTACTACATACTAGAATATTTATAATACTCTGGTGTTTTTCACGTGAACCACCTCTCTCTTTTTCTGACTTTTGTTTTAGTACCTCCCAAACTTCTGGTTTTATACATGATCTCATCAGTTTTAACTTATTTCTCCAGTCTCAATTTCTTCCCTATTATTGTGAACACGTACTTCTCAGCAGCTACATCTACATTAGCAAGTACTGGGTTACGGCAGAAGTAGGTATTAAGAGAAACACAATTGATGCTAAGGAAGCAATATTCACATTTCAGAGGTTTTACTCTAGAGTATTTCTAGACTGACTGAACCCATTTTAGCCACAGCAACACAACATGTGCTTCTGAAGCATAACTCATAATTTTGTTTCTCTAAAAGGAATCCAGCTTTTGTGCACCCAGATTTCATGCCTGTTTACTAAGTTGAACAACTGGTTCTGTTCTGAAGTTCCCAGCTCTAAAACACTAATATAGACATAATAGGGTCTCTAGGCCCTCAAGCTTTCCACATCAGCTTATGAGATCCTGTACCTCTCCTTCAGAATCTCAAATTCTTGTTTTCAAGTATGACAGTCCTTCCCTGTTAAAAAATAGAATAAATCCTCATTTGATCCTCCCGGAAAGTTTGCCTTCTCTTCATTTTTTAAGTGGCTCTTGATTATTAGCCTCTTTCCATATCATATTCTGACCCATGGCAAAGAAATTATCCTCAAAAATCTAGGAACTTCTTCACATGCAGTTCTCCATTTTCACCAAATTACCATCCTCCCCACTTCATTGTATAGCATTCCCTTTTCTACATTTGTCCTTTCTGGATTCTTCTCATGATGTACAGACCCCTTTCTTCAGGTCAACCTTACTTCTTTTCCTTAAATGTGTCATGCCAGTTCATACGAATATGTAAGTACTGACCTGGGAGCCCTCTTTCAAATACACAGTCCTACATGACATGACTCATTCTTACTCAGATTCATTTTTGTGCTGCTGGATTTTTGGACTTCATCTAAATGCGCACACTCAGCTAAAGAGTCACATGCTCTCAGATGAATCTACTAGGCCCTTAATTGGTCAGATATTCAGAAAACTTCAGTATGGGAGTCCTTTAGATTCTGAGGTCTCTGAAGTCAAACCACAGTTGGACTTCTCCCAGTGCTATCATATAACTGAGGTGGTACTGTGGTGCAAGTACAGACAAAGCTGACACTACAGCGTGTTTTAGTCTAACATCTTTGAGAGAGACAAGTGAGACAAAGAGCCCTACGTAGCTGCACATAAAAAGTTTCCCACTTCTAACAGTATTTGTAAATAACACAGTGAGCAGCCCCTTTCCTCCTAAGAACAAAGGGAGGACACAGTAAGAAATTCTGTACAACATCCCCAGAAACACATCTTGATGTGGTTTGCTATGTGAACATGGCAAAACCTGTTTAAACTGGAAGAGGGTAGATCTAGACTAGATATTAGGAAGAAATTCTTTACTGTGAGAGTTCTGAGACACTGGCACAGGTTGCCCAGGGAAGTTGTGGATGCCCACTCCCTGCAAGTGTTCAAGGCCAGGTGGGACAGGGCTTTGGGCAACCTAGTCTGGTGGGAGGTGTCCCTGCCCATGGCAGGGGCGTTGGACTGGATGATCTTTAAGGTCCCTTCCAACCCAAACCATTCTATGATATATACTATATAACTATATTCACACACTAATAATCAAAACTCAGCTGCTAATGTCACACACGCAACTACTTTTGATTTACAGAAAAAAATCTAAGTTGTTTATAAGATAAATATTTATAAGATATATTTGTAAGATGGCACTCTTGTGCCACATATGATGAGCACAGAGAACAAAACTAAACCAGTATTCTTCCAGATAGCCACCACATGCTTATAACTGAAGATACTGAGTGCTAATTAAAAATTTATTTTAAAAAATTTGTTTCAGAAAGTTTCACATGCTCACTGACTGCAATGAGTATACTTGCCTTAAGCAATTCAAGACCTGCTCTGATTGCCTGGTCAGTAGGTACACCCTCATCTTCATCATCAGCTGTTCCATCTATAGACTTGTTTACTTGCTTGATAAGGGCACTGAAAAGGAAAACAAAACATGGCCTTGTATTTACTGCAATTCTACCATGTACGACTCTTTTCATAAGTTTAAGATATAACCTTATTAAAGAAACTTATAAACAAACTTGTTATAAAACAAGTATGTCAACTACATACATTATCTGGTTGCCCCCATCTCCTACCTAAATCAAAGTTTATGAAGCATTAAGTTAAAAAGTGTTTAAACATCATGAATTAAGAACTATTTACAAATTACTCTGGAAGGATGACCAAAATAAATAAAAAAAAAACCACACAAACCGACAACAATTTGATCATTATAAGCAACAAATTCAGGAAAGAACTATGGTGAAGTTACTAGTTACTATGGACACACTAAAAAACCCCAAAACATGAAAAAACCAAACCAAACCTCAAACAAAAAGCCAACTCAAACCAAAACAAAAAAATCCCCACAAAAAAAAAATATAAAACCAAAACCAACTGGTAGCAAACCACAGGAGAGACTTCCCAGGTTGTTTTCTTCTGTCCCTAATTGGACAAAAATTATAATGTATTAAAAAACTTCAGTCAGAGTCTCAAAAATGAAGCAAAAGTTTAACGAGACTTTACAAAGATGGGAAAAGACCAATTATGTGAAAAAACTTAGAATATGTGCTTTTTACTACTTGTTTTGCTTGTATACTGTACAGCAGTAAGTAGACTGTGAAATAAATAACACAGTGCCACATGCGAACATTACTTTAAATATACATTTTATATTGCTTCTGTGAATGTGAAAAAATATTTTCTAATTTAAAGTAAAAATCCTGCTGCACATTGTACTTAATCCAAGATCAGAAAGGGATTTTTAAGTGGAATCTCAGTGGCTCCATTACACTGCATACGTGACAGGCAGAAACTGAAAAGCTCAAGTACTTAAAAATCAGTCATGTAGTTGGAATCAACAGAATTCACCAGTATTTAGAACTAGTTGTCTCTAATAAGGTATCACATATCTCAAATGCAGCTGTTAAATAATCATTTCAGCAATGATTTTTTTCCCCTCCTATAACTTCACTGGCCTACTCTTCCCTAAAGTCTTGATGCCTCATCACCATAATCCTTACTTCCTCAGTTAAATTACTGCTTATGTCACTATGAGGCCATATATTCTAGGTGGAAACCTTCAACTAATAGCCATGGACAGATTTTTTTTTTTTTCTTTTAAACAAGTCACAAACCAAACTTCACCCATCAGCAACAGATCCACTTTTACTGACAGGTTACCCAGCTGGGCTGAATGACAATTCAATTGTTTCTGTGGCTGCTTTCTGAACAAGGGCACAAAACCCCCTAAGCAACGGGAAACAGAAGATGCTGCAGGTCACCAGACCTTAAACCACAGCCGCCCAGTCTTTTACTGCTTGTGCTCAAAGGCAAAATAAGAAACACCAATTTCAAACGCTGTGATCTACGGTCAACAACACATACACACACACAGAAATACCTGATGGATTCAGTATCAATGTGCACAGGAGCAATTCTCTCAAGAAGAAACTTAATCATTTCCAGGAAAGGATTTGTTGGTTGTTTTGGATTGCCCAACTTCTTTGTTATTTCCCTCTGCAACAGAAGTTTCAAATAAATCTATAATCAATTCAGTTCCAAAACTGAACATATTTTAAGAACAATTCTTACCACACATCCTTCAGCCTGTTTGCAAGAACACGTCGGGCTAACAAGCATTTCTAACTGACTTCTTATTTTTTCATCATCTTCTAGAACTTGTGTGAACTTTTTCATGAAATCTTGAGCTTTCCCTGGATCAGGAAGGTTTCCTTTAAATAAGGAAAAGAAATCACTAGTTACTTTAAAATGTATCAGTATTGTAAATTACACAAGTTCCAAGTGTCACAAGAAAACTTCTATATGCGTTTAAGTTAACCAAGAATGGTGAAAAACAAGGAGCCCCACAAACAAACCATAAAATGTCTTAAGGTGTGCAGACATTTAAAAAAGAGCAATTTCTAAATATTTGAATATTATCAAATAATATCCCCTGGCTATTTGTTTTCTTCACTTTTCACACTCATTTCTCAGCAAGTCCACTTTTTCATGTTAATAATACTAACAGCTGAAGTTGACCTAGGAATGCAAAGCCTACACTCCACAGAAAAATATGCTCTGTATATAGATCACCTAATATGACAAGTGCGAAAAACACCAAAAGGGTATTTTTGCTAAATTAATCCTTCACTACATGTAAACTTGACAACAGCTTGAAAAACTTTTTTTAAAAGCTTTTAAAATGCATTTCTTAAATTGCATATTCATTTTATATTTACATTTCATGTAAGGTAATTTATTGGCAAAGTATTAGTATACTATTTAAGATGCTTCACTGTTTTGGCACTGTAGGTGTTAAGCAAAGTTGGTACAGAAAATAGTATAGGACTACAGGATAGTGAGTACAAAACAAGCTGTACTAAGTGTTTGTTTTGCTGTGTTAATTTGTTTTTCTTTTAAATGTGACCCAAAACTTAAAGAATCAGAAAAAATATTAACTGGTCAACTTTTATATTTTAAATAAAAGGGAAAAAGGATTTGGAGCAAGATTCAGTTTTTCCTCCATATTTTTTCAAAAACGTACATAGTAGTATTTCTGCCAGAACAGTTTTTTTAAAAAGGTTGATTTGAAAACAAAATTTCAGAATTGTAAAACAAGTTTTTATTCTTCTTACTGGTTTCAATGCTATGGGCATGGTGGGCTGGGGGAACAAGGAGCATTGCTTTGGGGTTGGTGGTTTTTAGTTTGCCAAGAGTTCAGATTACACAGAAGTTGCTGAGATTCCAAACTGCCTTCCCTGCTACTGAAATCCAAACCCTTTGCATTCTCCCAACAGGACTTACAATACCAACACCACAAAGACAGGCAAGTCAGTAGATAGTTTAGTATGTTAGTTAACATCAGCTAATGTATGTTTTATAACAAATGCTAATGCAGACCCTAACTCACTAGTTCATCCACATTTTTAATTAGCCCACAACAGATGCAGCCAAAATGTCATATGAAAAGCTTTCTGACTGGAGACTTTGTATGGTAAGGAAATAATTCTGCTTACGGTTGTCTTAATTCTTTAAAGCATATTGTTACATCATGTTTTGTTATAAATTTGATCTGTTACAAAACTTCCTTGTTACAAAGCTTATCTCAAATTATTTTTAAAGCAAGAAAGCAACATATTTCAACTGTGATTATTAGTGTAAATACTTCAACTGACTTACTTGTTATAACCATCACTTTCGAGAATATAGCTTTACTGCTGGCATCTGTCTGCAAATCACAAAAAGAATAATATATTAAGGGAAAATTTTACATCATGTATTTCCACTTGAATACTGACTGAGCAAAATTCCATAATGCATTATCAACAAGTCAGCACCCACCATTTTGCTAACACACCAGTGTGTTAGAAATCAAAACCACCACCGCAAAGTTAATGCTAGATAGTTACAGGAAGTAAAAGGTAGATCATGCCTACAGTAACACTGTCTCACATATACTTATGTAAAATATTTATTACTTTTCAATCTAATATACAACTTATGAACAGCACAAATGGCTTGTGTAATTGTTTTCCATCTAAAGTCTCTGTTTTTAAATATAAAATGAACAGCAAGCATCAAATTAATTTTATCTTCTTGTTCCAATATTGATTCTAAGTAGTCTCAGCAGTGGCTCCCACCTTATTGTAAAGAACAGAACAAGACAATAATAAGACAACTGCTACCCCTGTTAAACTGAACAGGGAGGGCAGAGGACAACCTTGTGAAAGGAATAACCAGGAGCCACAACAACAACAACAACAACAACAACAACAACAACAACAACAACAACAACAACAACGAAAACATAACTGCATTTCAGGATATCTGTGCAGCTTAGACTTCAGTGAAACTGCTGCTGAAATAAAGTTGTCCAACAGCACCTTACAAGCAAAATAAGTTGCACAAAACAGACTTTTATCTTGTTTATTTTCCTTTTGTCAGTAATCCTTCTGGTATAATTTCAAATTCCACATGCAAAGTCCACCTTAAGAGTTAGTTCTGACACTAAATAAATGGAAGAAAATGGAAAAAAAACCCGAGGGG